CCCCAAAACCCCAAAACCCCAAAACCCCAAGGATCTAGGTATACTCAGGAATAGAGGAAGTATTTATTAAAGAAAACATTCATAATGATTCCATTATTCGATATAGATACTATTATAGAGGTTGTCATATAATCATTTGAACAGAATGTTCTCTTTCCATATCATTCCTTGTCCTAATTCATTTAATTTTTATATTCCTGAAGCTTTAGATTTTCCTAGATTATCCTATCTCTTTCAGCTTTAATCTCATCCTCATCAAAGGATATAAGCATCTCATCACCTAGAGTGGCTCCTTTGTCCAATTCAAGTTTCCCTTTTTAGCTAAAGTTATGAGGGAAGTAAGTGTGACAACCTTTGTCACTATTTAATAAACCAACCTCTTTATATGCTTTTGCTATCAGCTCTGAGCAAAAGAAACGCCTATTTTTCACTCCTTCATCGATTGATTTCCTTTGAAATAGAACTTTCCTAATTGGCAGATGATACTTATTGCCTATTACTGATTTCACAAATTTTTCTAACTCAAACAGGAATATATCATCTCTTTCACAATAAAGATGCCTGTGAAAAACACTATTAACAGTAAGGTAATTTGGAAATATTTAATCTTACTGCTTGTAAGTTTAGTCCTTGAATAGTCTAAACCTTGACCATCTAGTGAGATTTACTCCCTATTATTTATGGATTATTACTCCTAAATTTTACTACATTTGAAGTAGAGTCCAAGAAGAACAGTTCCTTATTTTCAGCTTCAAACTTCAAAATAATTGCCACATGGTCTACTCATTTCAGTAAGGTTAAGTTTTGAATTTACCAAATTTGCTCTAAGTTAATTGTCTTGTGAATTTAGCTCCGAATCTTCTGCCTCTGAAAAGTATTATATCACCAACATCCGCAGTCTTTAGAAAATTCGCCTCATCGATTCGATCGAACTATAAGCTTCATTAAACAAGCTTTGATAAATACTCTCCAAGATTTAAATTCCAGCAGTCGCTCGTCAATAAATAACTTATTTATAGTACCCTTTGATTTTTCAATGACCTATTCAAGTGAAGTGACCCATTAATTAAAATCTGTCTAGCTTTTGCACCTGAGTTAGAATACACGACTGATTCCGCTAAGGGTTAAGCTATATTGTAAATTAATGTTTTGAATCTAAGCTTAAAAGCATGCTTACTTAATTCTGTTTTTCGAGGGAATTGCTTCCAGCTTACATTCTACAATGTCAAAATTTATCAATCCTCTAGGCTTTTCATTCTTGTAATAAATTAGTTTCCCTTCTTTCAACTCGAAGAACCTGCTCTGTATTTAATTTTGTCATGAAAAGAAAAACTTACTTGCCATCCGATAATAATTCTCGGTGACCTCTTCTCCATTATTCCTGAAAAGCATACAGATCTTCTCTATAAATCACTTTGGCATATTCTACTTAGCCTCCCACTACCTGACATATTACCTTCACTATAGAAGGCATTTAGGTAATCTTGCAAATCTCGACTCATCTTCTGATATGAATAATGCATTCCAAGTTCTTCACCTTCCAAATTGTCCTCCATTTGGACTATGAATTAGTCTATATCACCTCGATCAGCAATCTCATCCTAGCTTTGTTTTGCTGTCTAGACATCTTTCTCAGTCATTGCATACCGCAAGACTTGGTCTTTTACTTAATCTAAGGATTCCATAACAATTTATAAATTTATTAAACAGAACAGACCTTTCACATGACCTTTGACCTATTAAAATATCAATCTATAATCAATTATTGATTATTTTAACTTCCTCCCTAGCCCTGACTATCCCTGAACTTCGGGGTTTTGGGGTTTTGGGGTTTTGGGG